TATATTATATATTCATTAATTTAATTTCTAGCAAAAGCACAGAAGATATATAAACATTATAAAAGGAAAATAGAAGATTCTAATGTAGATAGTTACAAGGTAAATTATTTTTTTATATCTTTGTACATTATTCCAATTATAATTAATAATTCCAATTATTAATTTTAAATTAATTTAATGACAGTATACTAAACAAAGAATGGATACAGTTGGAGCAGTATGTGTTGATAAAGATGGAAATATTGCCGGAGCTTGTTCTAGTGGTGGTATCATTCTAAAATATCCAGGAAGAGTAGGACAGGTATAGTATTTTTTTTTTTTTTTATTTATCATTAACATTAGTTGTAGACATTTTATAAGTAGACATAATAATGTATTATGAATTATAATATTAAGGCAGGAATGTGGGGATGTGGAACATGGGCTTATAAAGACAAGTATTCTATAGGAACAAGCACCTCAGGCTGTGGAGAACATCTTATTCGCACTTTGCTAGCACGAACAATTGCAGAAGCCATATCACATAATTCTTGTCCTATTACCAACTTGTACCATTCTATGAAAGCTGATTTTATCGGTGAAAACTCGTAACTACTTTATTAATACTTTTCAGTATTAATAAACAATCAAAAAATTTTTTTTCTATTAGGAAGGATAACTAATCACTATAAATAGATAAACATTTGTTTTAGATTCGAAATTCTTGTGTGGACTTGAACAGAAACTTGGAGGTGTTATCGCTATTCGATATGCCCCTCAAGAAGGAGTAGGAGATTTGCTTTGGAGCCATTCTACAAATTCAATGATAATAGGTTACATGAACTCGAATGAACAAACACCAATGGTACAATTGTTTATTTTTCAAAATAAATAATATAAATAATATAAATAACGTCTTTAAAGAACTATAAAGAGTATCATTAAAATTTTTTCAGAGTCACATGGCTGTTCTTCCATCTCATGAAGTTGGCAAGAAAGCAATTGTCGAAGGAATTTGTTTTAAAATTACATAATACGTTAATCAATTTATGACTGACATTACACGATATTATTTTATAAAAAATGATGTATTACTTCTAAATTTTATAAATGATTTCGTACTTTTATGTTGTATATAAAAATTTTTGATCAAAACTGATTAATAAAGTAATCTTTTTATACATATTACATTTTTTACATATTACATTTTTTATATCTTATATATATTATATATATTATAAATATCTCTAAATGTAAATTAAATAATATATTTACAATATATAATAATATATAATTACATATATATATATATAACGCTAAATACAATATAAAGATAAATAAAAAGATAAATAATTTTAAATAGACGATAAAACAAAAAATAATGAAAATGAATGTTTTATATTTTTCAGATATATAATATTTTTCAGATATATAATATATAATATATAATATATAATATTAGATCAAACAAAATTGACCTCACTCTATAACTATTTGATACTTCAAAAAATTATAATAAGTACTTTGATATCATAAACTTCACTTGTTCAATGTTTATAATGAAGATTATATGAAGATTAAGATGGTAATATAGAAATGGTATAAAAATATATATGCAGAAATTAGATATATCTAGATTGAAAGTCAGAAATTAGTAAGAAATAAACTATTAAATAACATTTATATTTTTAATTCTTATAATTTATACATATTTTAAATCCCATTAATATATTAATCAAAAAAGTGGAATAGTTTTTACAAATATAAGAACAATCATTCTCCTTTGAAAAAATTTCGATTCCCAAATAAATACATTTTTCAAAAATTCGAAAACATGATTTCTATGCACATGACTTCTAAAAAGCATTTGTTTTAAAAAATTATTTACATACATTCTATATATTGCATACATTCTATATATTAAATCACTTATTTTATTTATTTTTGTAATAATCAATGTAAATATGTAATAATCAATATAAATTTAACCTAATAATAAATATATTTTCGATAAAAGGAAAAATCTTTTTATTTTAAAATACTTATAAACTCCCAATATCATTGAATCTTTTAAGTTTTTCGGGAAATATATCTTTGAATAAAACTGGGTCTGCTCTAAATTCAACTGATTGTAATGGCATTGAGCCATAAATTGAAGAGAATCTATTTATACACTGTGTACGTTCTACCATATGCGTTAAATCCGCTGATAACATTTCAGTATTTGTGCATTCTGGACATCGAAATTTTTTTTTTGGTGTCACCTATAATACATTAAGTACTTAACATATTATATCTCAAATTAAAAATTAAAAACATATTAACTTACTTTTATTGGCGCTTTTCTTGTGATATTTGCTACTAAAAAATTCATAGCTATATCTTCACAGTTCATATGTTCATCAACCCATTCTTTTATATCACCAGGCATAGCAGTAGTGTACATATAATTCCAATACTGAAATATTTAAGATATTAATATAATGTAATATATTTAGTTACAAATAAAATCTAAATTGTACCTAATTTTTCCAAGAAACAGGAATATAGGAAATTTATATTGGAAATATTCTTTGGAAAGGAATAACAAATCCAAGGTCTGAAATAAAAAATTGTTGAGCTATAAATATTTCTAATAAAATACATGTTACATTACTTTATGATGAAATGCTGCTCCTGTTAAAACCATAGAAATACTGTTGGTCCATTCACTTTCGTATTTCCAACAGTTTGTTCCATTGTCCCACATATGAATTCTAGATGGAAAACCAACTATTCGATCTGGAAACTCTCTCCATACCTAATAATTATATTTATATTCATTATTATATTTTTCTTTTTTAGTTTTAATGATATTTTAAAAGTTATCTAATAAATGCAGTGGGCGTACCTCATAAGCAAATTCTACTTCATCAGCAGTTAACATAATAATATCATCATCTATTGATAAAACTGCTTCAGTTTCAATTTCGTTGTAAGGATAAAATCTATTGGATAGTTTATTTTCCTTTGTTTGTATAACTTTTAATGGTTTATTCAATTTTGGCCATCTAGATGCTGCAATATATAAACAATCTTTAGAAATCAATCAACTAAATAATAAAATTAAACAATATTAATTAATTAAAATTTACAATGTGGAGGATCTTTCTGTTGATTATTCCATATAACTAAAACTTTAGACAAACTTGGTACTTTAACAAGTTTATTAATTAAAAGAAATAGTAATTCCAATCTATCGTATGTTAAAATTACGGCAGTAAATCCTCGAGTTTTTGGCACAGTAATAGGTAAAAACAATGGAGATGTAATATCCTATATTTACAATAAAATTATAAAATTATTATTCAATTTATTAACAATTTATTAATTATTGTAAGTTATACTTTCCTTATGGGGTGGTATGTTCCAAAATGTATAATCTCTAATTAAATGTGGGAATACACGATCTGCAAGTATTTCTAATGTAGTTTCTGTTATTTTTTCCATGGACATGAAATATTTTTCATAAAGCCATGAACCCTGTTCTTGAAGTTCTATAATTCGTTGTTGAGATATTCTTTTTAAAACTGATATTACTGATAAAATATCGACTTCACGTACAAATATAGCAGCTCTAAATAAAAAATATAATTGTTCCAAAATTTTT